ACTTTTTCCCTGCTTCCCCTAGTGAAGTTAATTGTAGAGACTTCTTCCAGACTTTTCCCAGTCTCTGATAGTGCCAACCACTGTCCAGACTTTCCCCAGCTAACAACTATAGTCAACTGTGCATACTTTTCCCTGCCTCCACAAGTGAATACTATCCTGTTTGAACTTCAGGCTATCACCCTTTTGCCACAACCTCCCACACCATCAAAGCATTGATTGACTGCCCCGGGGCCAACAACTCAACAGTCCATAGCCACCATAAGACAAGACACACTAGAATGTAAGACTTGGTATAAATAAACAGGTTTGTTTGTCACTGCAGCTATTTGCCTCACTTTCCTTCACCCCACATAGGATAAGTCCTGACATTTGGCATTTGGATATCACAAATTTGGCAACCTTTACATATTCAACTAAAATATTGAGCTTCAATTGAAGAGTAACAACAGAATTTAATAGCAAGATAATTTCGTCTGCAAACAACAGACAATTCAGCTTAATCTGTGAAGATAATGTTACCTATCATTTTATTTTCTTGTATAAAAGTTAGATAATTTATGAACAGATTAAAAAGAATAGCACTCAGGGGCTTACCCCGAATTAATCCTTTGTTTGATGCCCAAGAATATGTTCTGATAAAACCATCCTCAATGATGTGTTTAATGTTGAAAAAGCCATTTAAGTGGAATTTAATAATAAAAGTTGGAAATACTCAACCTGTTGAGTCACCATTGTAACATTTCATGGTCTATAGAGTTAAATGCTTTCTTTAGATCAATAAACCCTACATATAACTTGTGGAATTTTTTAGACAACACTAGCTGAATAATTCCATAAAAAATAAAGACTGTAACCAACACCTTTATTTTTCAAAAATTCAAAATGTACCAGGCTTTCGTGTATTTTATTTGTTATATCCTCTGCACCATGTATTATTTTAGATTGGTTCTATGGAACCAAGCTAAAATAAAATCCACAGAAGCCTGACACATTTACAAGGCTATGTTGAAGGAGCAGGCAATTAATTTCAAGGACATTAACATAATATCAGGAGCATTCCTGTAAAGCAGTATTGAATAACACTTTAAATATTATTATTATAATATATATATATTTATTATTGATATGAGCTTTCAAAATGAAAATTTGTTCCATCAAATGTGTTCTGTAAAGGATTAAAAACATTTGTGTAAAAAATTTTTTACTGTATTAGATGGTTGTAGAGTTGGTAGATGTACAAGTGCAGTTCCTCTATGAGTAATAAGTTGGGTCATCTAGTAATGGACTATAATTATCAGTACACATACCAAAATTAATTACCAAGAGGACCAAAATAATGTTCCTTCAAAAACACATTCCATTCTTAGTAGAAATAACATTGCATGATAATTTTTGTACCAAACATATCCAAATTTTCTAGAAATGTTCCAGTTAGTAATGTTAGCATTTAAACTTTTGTTGTTTGACATTCCATTTTGTATTCTACTCAAGGAAGGTCATTAAAAACAATCAAACATTCTAGTTATTAAATTTTGGTGTGTTTGTTACTCTACATAACAGCTGTGAATCAGTTAATTTTTGTACTTTAAATTTATTGACTAGTTCCCACTTAAAACTTTTCTTTAATTTGGAATAATTTGCAAATGCTTTCTTAGTTCTATCCTTCCTAAAGGATCTTAAAATACAATTAGTAAGTTTTTTTAATATCAAGCAATCATGGTCAAATCACATTTTTTTCATATAACATATCACATTAAAACACCAGTTCTATCTAACATTAAGATTATCAAAGCTGAATAATAAGATAAAGAATGCAAAATAAGTTATTTAATTCCATCATAACTAGAACTAACATTAAGCAATTAATCATCTAGCTTTGTTGGTTTCTAATAATTCTCTGAATCTTCAAAAACGATGGTTTTGGGCAAAAAGAGAAAGATGATCAGAACTAAACTTACATAAAACATATTAAGACTAAAAATCAATAAATGTATTACATCAAATTTCATTTCCAGAATCTATATATGCTTAGCGTTCTGATTACTAAATCTACATAATGTTCAACTAAATATTTATAAATTAAATATTTAGTTGAACAGTACTTTTGTTTCTTAATCAACTTGGACCACAAGTGATGTTTAAAATGAGCTACAATTTGTATGTACCTATCTGCATGATATTTGTAAAATTTGAATACAATAAAGAATCTTCAATGTAAGGCACCGTTTTACCTTTTAACCAACGATTTTTTATTCATTCCTATTCAACATATAGTAGTTAGTACCCAAAGACTCCATTATCTGGTGTTTCTTTTCTGTATATAACACATCTTATGAAAGTAAACTGAAGTACTGACTGATGCATTGACTTCTGAACCAGATATTAGCAACAAAATATAAGTTGCTGCTCTGGGGCCCAATCAGCCATTATTATAACAAATACAGTACATCTATTCCTCTTTTCATGCAGTCCATTTTTATGCAATTTTGAAATAATGTGGTTAACAAAAGAAAACTAATCCTGTTTTTACGTGATCAATTTTTTTACGAGGAAAAAACAATTTATTTGAAAATTTTTTAATTTAATTTTTGTTGAAATCAAGAGTTAATTTACCTTTTTTAAGCATAGTACAGTAATACATGTAGTACATTAGAGAATGCTGTGTGTCAATTTTATATTTCCTATGCTATCTAATGTTTACTATAGTTAAGTACAAATAATGTTAACAATAAATGATGTTAGAATAAAAAAAAACCTCATGTTTCTTTTGTACATTGATTACTTTTTCATTCCATCAAAGTTCTGGATCTTATTGAGCATTTTTCTACAAGTAGCTGTACTTTTCTATGAGGGATTCTTTGAAACTGTGCAAAATAAGAGATAGGTATACCTTCTCAGCAGTAAAAACAACTGGAATGCAAAGCAACAGACTGAACAGCGATGACCAGCAAGATTTCCAGTTTCAATACTCAATGCCGATACTGGTCAGTATTGATGCTTTTATGGTATCAGGATTTCCCTACTTCCATGAAGTTGTTCCAACTATTCATTTACCTGTCAGATTCTTAAATTATGATTTACATTTTACAAAAAAAATTAAATTGAAATATTCTTTGTTTTTGGAATGTTCATTAAAATATTGGAAAGTTTTAATTCTTAAGTTTGGTACTTCTCTATTAAATATCACAATTACAGACAAATATATTATAAAATTCAAAAAGAAAATTTATTCTTTAAAATTTCTAACAATTTAACTGTTAACTGATAGTAACTTGAAAATATATTCTATGACAGAAAAGCATACTGATTAAATATAATATCAAAGAAGTCACATGTTAGATAGCAGTATAAATANTCTCTCGCATCATTGGTTTACGCGGAAAAAAATAAGGTCCGATACTTTTTGAACAGACCTTGTATATACAGTAAATCTAGTTCACTAGCAAATCTAGCATTAGTATCTTTTAAAATTAAAATAAACCAGCAATAAGTTGCTTAACTTTTCTGGCAACATTTAAAATTTTGGTGGTACCATCTGTTATCATATTTTATAAAAAACACTTTTCATATTTTTAACAATTATAAAATGACAACACACTTAATTTTGAAGGTAGGGATGAGTTTTATATAAAATTGTAAATGCTAATAACAAGTAAAATCATCATTAAGTCTGATCCTACTGGAGATACACAAGACCTCCATTATCTCCCATCCCTCAACTTTTAACCTCAAAAATTTAATAGCAACCTTCCTCCTAATAAACAAACCAATCTGCAAAATTTTGGAAATTTTTGACAAAAAGCACAGGAGTTATTAAGCTTCAAAAGGGTGAACAAAATTGTGCCACACACACTAACATCCATACATACAGAAATTACACCCAATTTTTTTTTGCATTTCTAGACGTTTCAAGGTGTCCTGAGTCCAAAAGTGTAAAAATCTTGGGGTGTCATTTTTTGACCAATTGCCATACTTTCTCTCTGTTATATATAACAGCCAGGAGAATAAAAATTCAAATTCAGGAAGTTAGTGGTCAAAATTCCTTGACAATTCCATGACAAGACATTCAGATCAAATTCTGCTGTACTTTTAGGTACTCCTTTTATAAAATTTAATCTTCTGAGGCTTTCTCTCTTTCTAAAAAGTATTAATCTGAATCAATTCATTATTTCTAAATCAAAAGTAAAATTTTTACATCAGTTATCAAACAATCTACTCTGATATAAAACACTGTTTTACCTTTTGCTTGTTTATAGAAAAGAGTAAGCTTTTTTCTTTTGAATTCTAGTCCTCCAAGTCAAGTTGTCAAAAATTTTAATTTTAGAAAATTTCTCTCTCATTTGAATAAATACTTCTTAAGTTTTTAAAAAGTATATTCTTATCAGTCAGTTTCAGTCTTTAGTTCTACAATTACTAGATTATTTTTCAGTATTTTATAACAAGCTTTGGGGGAGATAAAAGTCTCCATTAGGCTGGGAGGGAGGTAGAATCTAATGCAATGGACCCAGATTTGGTTCAACATCACCAATTAACAATAAAACTCAAATTAATAAATACAAGTCTGTATAATTAAAGCAGTTAATAAATAAATAAAAAAACTTAATATACAACACATTTCTAATTTCACAATTGTTTACAAATTATAAGCTAATATAGGTGTTGGAGATTTCTTCACTTTGGTTAAAAGAAGATGGCAATCTTTTTTTTAATCAAAGTGAACAACCTCATCTAAAATATAAAATACTGTACTTGATAAAAGTAAATATGAAAGTTATTCAAATAATGAATTCTATTTTATAACAAATTGTCATTTCACTGAACTTTATATATCAGAAAACAAATATTTGGATTACAATGACACTTTAATTAATTAATTATTTAATTGTCTAAATTAAATTTGAAATTATCTAAAGTGCTATTTTGATAAAATATAAATTTTTAAAATTATTATTATAAAAAAATATTTATAAATGTTATCATAAAAAAAGTATAATATTTACTTTGCCAGGTCCACTGTTAGCATTTTCTTGTTCTGAATCATTAGTAGCACCTTTATTTCTTGATTTAGAATAAAGAGTTTTACTTGGAGAACCAGAACGTGTACCTGATGGGCTTCTCATCTGTGTTATTCTTCCGAAGAAATCTTCCTTAAAAGATCTAGCTCTTCGAGCTAAACGCCCACCTCTTGGCCTTGCAGTATCTATTCATAAATAAATCTTTTAAAATAGCTATACAATAAATTTTAAATTACAAATAGATTTTATAAAAAGTATACTTATATGCANTTTAATCAAAGTGAACAACCTCATCTAAAATATAAAATACTGTACTTGATAAAAGTAAATATGAAAGTTATTCAAATAATGAATTCTATTTTATAACAACAAATTGTCATTTCACTGAACTTTATATATCAGAAAACAAATATTTGGATTACAATGACAAATATATTATAAAATTCAAAAAGAAAATTTATTCTTTAAAATTTCTAACAATTTAACTGTTAACTGATAGTAACTTGAAAATATATTCTATGACAGAAAAGCATACTGATTAAATATAATATCAAAGAAGTCACATGTTAGATAGCAGTATAAATAACTTTTATAGCAGATATGGCAATAACACAACAGAAAAATAAAAACTTATTAAACAGTAAAGATATAAGTGAAGAAATACACACAGATTGAATATTAGAGACTAAAACTCATTGTAATAGATAAAACTTAATTAAGAGAGCTGAAAGATAACATTAAAGAATAATTTAAATAGTTAGGACTTCAAGTATATGCTTCATAGAATGCAGCATTCTAAATGAAATTTGAAGTAATTTTCAGAATGTTTGTTAGCTTAAGTATGACTTTATAGTTTTTGTTCTTATATTTTCTTTTAGCAGCACCTATATTTTGCATTTTAGTTCTTAAGATAACGAAGAAACTCTAAACAAATTTGAGTTAGTTTCAATATCAAAATGGAAAAATTCATCAAAAATTTATATTTATTAAAGAACTTATGATGTAAAAGCTTTGGAAGTATTTTCATTAAAATAAAGGAGAATTACAATAAATTAACTATTCAGGTTTATTAATTTTATATTTTATTTTTAGATTAAAAAAATTAAACACAGATTCACATTTTATTTATAGATCAATTTTAAACACTTTAATTTAATAACAGTTCTAATTTACCATTTAATTGGCAACATTCTGAAAATATATAATTATATATATTTTTTTATATCTAAATAATTAAATGTAATACAGATTTCAGAGAAAAGTATTTTTTTTAAACAACCCAAAGCGTGCTCAGCAGAAAATAATAAACTATAACTAAATCAACACCTGTTCACTCGCTGAGAGATTTATTCTTAACACAAACGTTTTCAATCCAATCAATGGATCATCGTCAGGTAAATTAGAACATTTCAAAAAATAGAACAACAAGTTCAAAATACAAAAAATATAAATATTAATAACGGATAACCAATATATTACTAACAGCAAAATAACGTTTTTAAATAATATAATTAATACAAATGCTGCTAAAATTATAAATAAAAATAAAATATTAAAATATAACAAATAAATTGTGTATACAAAATATTAATACTTCAAACTTAATAGACAAATCGATAACACTATATATTAATAATGCTTAATAAACTGTACGGAGTTTCTCAACTAAACTATACAGAGTTTTTTATATACATAATATTAAAGCTCCTGCTCTTATTTGAAGTTTTTAACTGCAAACTTCCATGCGGAAGGAAGTCCCTCGGCATCCCTTGCGTTGATGCAATTCCCTTTAAGTTTGCTTTTATAAATTTCTAATTTTTCGGCCGTTTTTGCCAAGGTCGGGGAGTGTATTTGTTTCAGTATATCTGCTTCATTCCATCTTACTATCGAACCCTCCGTTTGCGCCATTTGAGACAATACTGTGGCATTCGAACCTTTTCTCACATCATATCTGTGCTCTTTTATCCTTACCCCTAGATTTCTAGTAGTAACCCCAACATATTCTTTATCTATTCCTAACATCTGATTCTCGTATGGGATCTNAATTAAATTATTTAACACACAATATATTATATATTATTTGTAATTTTTTAAAAAATAAAATAATGGAGTATGCAATAAATTTGTTTCAAATTGAAGAACTCTTATTAACAGTTGCATTTTTAAAATTTAATATGTATGCAAGATTATAGTTAAAAACCTTTAACATTAACTAAAAACTAACATTAGGTAAATAATAATATATAGAATTGGAAAAACAGTAAATAAATTTTAGTAGTAAATATATAACTGAAGTGGTGTATATGAGAATTAAAACATCCTAACCTAAATTAATTTCCAATAATTATTAAATCAATTTAAAACTTTCTAAATCTTCAAAACAACTTAAGCAGTTCAATCTAAATGATTCATTTCATTGTTATCACTTTTAGTTAATGCTAATAAATGAAATTTATAACTTCAATTAGCAATATAAAGAAAAATATACTGTATATGTATCACGATATCAGAAATAATCTGATTATTAATAGTACAGTAAAAAATGAAGAATCAGGATACAGAGGATGATTAAGAAAATGAATGGATGAAAAAATTCTTACTGATCATTAAATCAATTGAAACATTTTAAACCTTCAGAATATCTTGGATAATTTAATTTTAAATGAACTACATCATTATACAATGATAGAACAAACTATATATTAATTAAGAATATCGTGATAATATTTTATTATTATAAATTATAAGATCCAAAATTAAAGAATATGTGAATGTATTCGCAGAAAATAAGTGTAAATTTATAAACAAAAAGTAATGTAAAGTAACATGTTAATATAACCCCCTTGTAATAGGGAAGTAATTCCCAATGGACAATAAATGATGATGATAATATTTTATTATTATTTAACATTTTGACTATCTTCTGAGTTAATATTTTATGAAAGATAAAAATCCAATAAAAAATATTTTAAATGAAATTAAAAAACTAATTTTTCTTTTAATTTCTTAAAAATATGTTTGCTTCTGACTAGTTCTAATCCAAAAATTTATGAATTTACTTTATGAAACAAATTAGCTCAATTGAACTATTGAATTCTAAATGCCTGTTATAACCAACAGCAGTTATTTACAAAATTAATATCTATCTGGAAAATACATTATCACATCAATTAGCATTATCATCATTTCTAATGATATTTATTTAAAGATAATAATTCTTTGCAAATACAACCAGTTTGAGTTGTGGTTAATATGATGATAATTTTGTTTATTTGATTATATTAGTAAAGACAGTCATGTTGAATAATATATTTGAAATATTTTTCTCAAACTATTAATCTTTAATCAATAAAACTTTATCAACAATCTATGAAAAATATTTCATATTCATTGTCTTCAATTAAATATGAATTAAAAATTAATGTAAAAAATGTCTTAAAAAATATCTAATTTTGTTAAAATTCTAAAACTTGTTATTATTTTATTTTATTTATGATTAAATTAAAATTAAAAATTATCAACTTTTATATTATTAAATACAAAATACCATACATCATAAAATAAAAAAGTCAATTCATCAAAAATACTATTATTTAATTTTTTATTTTGTAATTTGTTTTTAAAAAATATCTGCATCATTTTTTCATTTCATAACAGATAGTTTTACCAAAATATCAAATATTTGACAGTCTAGTAGACTTAACTAATTTCCTAGAATTCATTTCTTCTTATATCTGATTTATAAACATGTTATTTATCAGCAAATAGACCTATGATTGATAGACAATAGAACTGACAAGTGTTTATAACAAATAAGATTTTGTTGATAAATAAGCAAGTTATAAAATTAAAATTGGTTAATGACTCATAAAAAAAAATATTTTAAAAAATTAATCTTAATACAGAAGAACATTTTATTTTACAAACATTTACATTTATTATTTCAGACAACACTAGCAGATAATCATTGGAAACCTATAACAAATAAAATCTTTGATTACATGTATGTTAGCTAGAATGATAAATTAAGCAAATATTTACTTTATTGTTTTAAGCTCTCTTTAATTAATTAATTATTTAATTGTCTAAATTAAATTTGAAATTATCTAAAGTGCTATTTTGATAAAATATAAATTTTTAAAATTATTATTATAAAAAAATATTTATAAATGTTATCATAAAAAAAGTATAATATTTACTTTGCCAGGTCCACTGTTAGCATTTTCTTGTTCTGAATCATTAGTAGCACCTTTATTTCTTGATTTAGAATAAAGAGTTTTACTTGGAGAACCAGAACGTGTACCTGATGGGCTTCTCATCTGTGTTATTCTTCCGAAGAAATCTTCCTTAAAAGATCTAGCTCTTCGAGCTAAACGCCCACCTCTTGGCCTTGCAGTATCTATTCATAAATAAATCTTTTAAAATAGCTATACAATAAATTTTAAATTACAAATAGATTTTATAAAAAGTATACTTATATGCAATAAATACTTCTAAAATCAAAATAAACAAGACTAAGCAGCTATTTTAAAATTTATTATTTGATATCTAAGAAATTAGTTTCATACTTGATTTTTAAGATATTTAATCTTTTAATATAATAAATTTTATTTTTTTCAAGCTTATTTTCAGTTAGTTAATATAAATATCTGATTATTTATATCATAAGATAAGATTTACATGCACATTTATTAAAAATATGTTTAGCACAATTATTATTTTTATATCTTAAATTTTTTTTGTGTAATTAATTAAAGAAATAAAATTAAACTCAATATATAATAATTATCTTGTTTTTATAAATAAGCTATCAAGATAATAAGTTTCATTGAAAATAAAATATATTACAATCTCTTTAACTGTCAAAATATCCTAAATTCACTACTTTTTGAAATTAAAAAAAAAACAACTAAATTTATTGCCCATAAAAATCACAGTATGAAAAACTTATATGAAAATACAAGCATTTTTAAATCATGTTCTAACAATTTTATTTATTTAACATTAAAACATAGGAAAGGTTAATTTTAATTTTAAACAAGAAACAATTTATATGTTAATAGATTTTATTTCACAAGGTAAACAAATTGAAGGTTAAATGTAAAAGGTTTGATACAAATTCTATAAAACAATTCCAAAGTATTAAAATAAAAACTTGTAAACCATTTTATATACTGTACATTTCTAATTAAAGTTTGTATATTACAGAATTAGTATCTTGTACTGTACATAATAAGAAAAAATATGAGAAACTCAATGATTTATTTAATGAAATATTACACAATAGTCTTTGTTATGGACTATGGAAAGTGGAAGCCAGCTAAAACTGTTTCATTTGTTAAATCTTTTGCTAAACAATATGAAAATGAAGTGTAATGTTTTTATTTTACATCTTATGAAAAATTCATTACTAAATTTTTATATAAATTCTATAAGATATAATGATTTTATTAATGAATATTTTTAATGAATTAATATTTCTGTGTCTGTAGAAATTACATGTCATTTAGAATATCAACAATAAAAATGTATTTAAAACATTTTAAAATTAAATGAAGTATCAGTCATTCATAAACTATTAACAAAAACTCAAACTTAGAAGTCTGTTTAATACATATGAAAAGATATTAGATACACTAAATGAACTTTATAACTGAAAACCATAGGGACATCCTGATACTGCTGATGCCAAGACCATATCAATATCTTTCCTTCGATATTGAGTACAAAAAGTGTAGAGTACTTAATACTTTTGGTCCAATATGATACTGGTAGCCAATCCTCAGGTATCGGATCTGGTATTGTTATATTTTTCTCAAATAGGTAAAGTTCAACGGAAACCAGATTTTGCAGCTGAATCAGAAACTGAAATAGACTTTTATACCATTTTCAGTTAAGTTAAACTTACATAAAACATATTAAGACTAAAAATCAATAAATGTATTACATCAAATTTCATTTCCAGAATCTATATATGCTTAGCGTTCTGATTACTAAATCTACATAATGTTCAACTAAATATTTATAAATTAAATATTTAGTTGAACAGTACTTTTGTTTCTTAATCAACTTGGACCACAAGTGATGTTTAAAATGAGCTACAATTTGTATGTACCTATCTGCATGATATTTGTAAAATTTGAATACAATAAAGAATCTTCAATGTAAGGCACCGTTTTACCTTTTAACCAACGATTTTTTATTCATTCCTATTCAACATATAGTAGTTAGTACCCAAAGACTCCATTATCTGGTGTTTCTTTTCTGTATATAACACATCTTATGAAAGTAAACTGAAGTACTGACTGATGCATTGACTTCTGAACCAGATATTAGCAACAAAATATAAGTTGCTGCTCTGGGGCCCAATCAGCCATTATTATAACAAATACAGTACATCTATTCCTCTTTTCATGCAGTCCATTTTTATGCAATTTTGAAATAATGTGGTTAACAAAAGAAAACTAATCCTGTTTTTACGTGATCAATTTTTTTACGAGGAAAAAACAATTTATTTGAAAATTTTTTAATTTAATTTTTGTTGAAATCAAGAGTTAATTTACCTTTTTTAAGCATAGTACAGTAATACATGTAGTACATTAGAGAATGCTGTGTGTCAATTTTATATTTCCTATGCTATCTAATGTTTACTATAGTTAAGTACAAATAATGTTAACAATAAATGATGTTAGAATAAAAAAAAACCTCATGTTTCTTTTGTACATTGATTACTTTTTCATTCCATCAAAGTTCTGGATCTTATTGAGCATTTTTCTACAAGTAGCTGTACTTTTCTATGAGGGATTCTTTGAAACTGTGCAAAATAAGAGATAGGTATACCTTCTCAGCAGTAAAAACAACTGGAATGCAAAGCAACAGACTGAACAGCGATGACCAGCAAGATTTCCAGTTTCAATACTCAATGCCGATACTGGTCAGTATTGATGCTTTTATGGTATCAGGATTTCCCTACTTCCATGAAGTTGTTCCAACTATTCATTTACCTGTCAGATTCTTAAATTATGATTTACATTTTACAAAAAAAATTAAATTGAAATATTCTTTGTTTTTGGAATGTTCATTAAAATATTGGAAAGTTTTAATTCTTAAGTTTGGTACTTCTCTATTAAATATCACAATTACAGACAAATATATTATATTCAAAAATTTGAAATTTAAATTTTAAAAAAATATGATAAATTATTTAAAAATACATTCAAAAACAACTTCAAAATAATCAGCAAATATTCAAAAATTTTTAATTCATCATTTTGCATACTAATATTTGAAAATCATAGAATTAATTAATGCACAATGTTACACAATAAAAACTATTTTACTGTATTTTCTTTATTCTAAGATGTATTTTTTTTAAATCCATTTTTTCTGTTCAAAATGAAGATGGCCTTATAATCAATCCATCTCAATTCCAAAACAAAAATCAGATGATACATTATGCATCAATAACAGATGTTCTTGGCATTGCTGCTTAATTGTTACATATCAATTCAAATAGATTTTATTGATAATAAGCATTTAATTTAAATTCCATTTTAACATTTAAAATGCCCTCAAGATGACAATATAATACAGAATTAAAATGAAAAGTTATTTTATATGATAAAGAGCATGAAAATAGTGTTGCTGAATATTTCTTTTTCATTTATGTTGTTTTTCTAACTTGTTATTTAAGATTTAATAAAATTGATTGTTTTTAATGGAGGGAAAATTTTTAAATAATCTTAAAATTTGATATCAAACTCATGATTCATCTTTGATTTAAAGCAATGTTGTAATTAGTTTATTACACAGCCAAATCAAATATATTCATTAAGAAAAATTAATCTACAGCATAAATTTGTTAAGCTGGCGTATGATGTCTGGTAATCTGACACTCTCTGAAAAGTAGCTGATTATCTGGAATTGCTTGATAATAATCTGGAATGCTAATACTCTGCAAATCAGAATTTTTTGGACAAGTGGTGTACTAAAGAGTGTAAGTAAAAAATTTAGTGAAGATGATTGCACATTGCTACATGTCAAGAGATCAATCATGATTGAGAAAAATGACTCATTTGTTTAAAGCATCTTGTTTGTGTCAGGTTGGACATTGCTGTATATTTTTTATCAGTGTGTGCTGGTACAACAATGTTGGCTCCTTCTCCAACTTTGAAGACATCTCTTATCTGATGTTTAGAGGTATGTCAATGGAGAGTACCATTTCTGGTACATGAAATGTTGGAAACTTTCAGAATGCATATAACTTATCAAATTTTAAAAAATACAAAAACATGACATTCTTATGTTGGTTCATGTTCAGCATGATAATCTGACATTTTTAATAATCCCATAGGTGCCAAATTAATTAACTTCTATTGCATTAAAAATATCAATTACAAATTTATATTTATGAAGTTTAAAATCCTACATTTATTATTTTATTTATATTTACTGTATTTATAAAAAAATACATAAATACAAGGATAAATACAATTAATTCAAGGATATTCCAAAACAATAAAATTATAAAAAAAAATGTATATTTATAATTAAAAGAATAAATATCAAAACTATTCATAAATTAGAGATAATGCATTAGTTTATAATGAGATATTTTAATGCTAATAAGCCTCTCACTGAACATTAAACATTTTTTTTTATTACATTACATTTGATATATTTTTTATTATATAATCCATGTAGTACCTTTATAATAATGATTATTATGAAATATGATATCCATTATGTACAGTACATATCACATATGTCTTCCAGATGGTTCTTAAGATAGTGAAATGTATATGTCTATTCTTGAAAGGAAAAAATCCAATTATGTGAATTTACTTTCAACAATGATTAGCTGCATTTCCATTAAATGACTCATACTTCCCAACCCAAGTAAATTAAAATCTACTTAAGTTTTTTATTTAAGATGATATCATATAAACAGGGAGTTTTCTGATTTGTTCTATAACATTGTTTATTAGCATTAAATTTACACTAGCTATAGATGTATAAGCTTAAATTATTTGAGTTTCTCTCTACTTATTAAATATATTTTTTATATAGCTAAAGTTAAAAAGTTTTGATAATTTATAAACAATATACTGTAAAAAACATTTGAAAAGTCAAAAACTTAAATATTTTCAAAATTTTCTAACAATTTTAGTTGTTCAAATTTCCTAACAATTTCTCTAATTTTAGTTCCTTTTTATTTATGAAATTTGTAATTCAATTTATTTACAAATTTATACAAATTAATTTTATTTAACAGATTCATTATTATTTTTATATTTTTATATGACAAAATAACAAATTTTAGTAATTATTGAAAATTTGAATTGGATAAAAATTTCAACTGTGTATTCAAAATTGAAAACTTAATCTGATTATTTATAT